TTCCAACCCAGGCAGCTGCTGGGAGTGCCAAACTTTGCCTTGTACTTACAATACCGTTGCCTAGCTAATCATGGGAGCCAGGGATGGGCTTGCTGTGCTGATCATCACACGCTGGCAGAAGAGATAATGAGCCGCTGACAAGGATGCATCTGAAATCTGGCCAAGCATTGCATTGCATGAGATACCACGTGCTGCTTCTTCCTTCCCGAACAAGGACAATGGATTCCTGTTCCTTAGCACAGTGTCACCTTGCTCTCTGTAGCTCGCTCCGTTTCCTTGATATAGTTTGAATGGTTTAAGAATGACAAGTTTACACAAAGAGAGGAAAGCACATCTTGGGGATTTCAAATCCTTTGTAAACCAACCTGGTTTTGTATGCTTGCTCTTAGTGATCTTGAATGGACAGTGTATTTGAGAAATCAGCTTTAAAGAGTAGTTTCTTTTTGTGGAGAAAGCAAACCTTGGCAGCACAAAAAAACAGATGTTTACCTTGATGTGTGCTCCATGGCATCACTTTGCAGCTAGTCTTCTCTGTGTTGGACTTGCCACAGTCTTCATGGTAGTGTTGGGGTTGTGCTGATGTTTTCAGATAGGATTGAAGGCAGCAATGTCTTACTCAAAATTTAATTCAGTGCTATACCAGACTAGTGTGCTACTGTTAGGCCTTTCCGTGTGGCAGGATATGAAGAAGGAGAGCAGTGCATTTGCCCATTGCTGCTACCTTCTTCAGTATTGGAGATGGTTTAAGTGAAAAGACAGTCAGTGTTATTTATGCCTTCCTGGACATGCATACCCTGCTTGCAAATTCTTTTTTTGTCTTACCGTCTTGCTGCTGAGCTATATTGTTAGGTAGTGTTGGGGAACTTTTTTCCTAATTCCTCCTCCTCTTCAACTCCCAATTTTGGATGTGCCAGCTGGGGGGTTACCCAGATGTCTGACCTGTGCTTTTTCAGTTTTATTTTTCAAATACTGGTTAAGCCAATGCAGTAAATCATATTTCAACTTTCTTGTCATGTATGAAAAATTTTGTCATTAATTCCTAGAGCTTGGTCCTAGTTTCTTGAAGGAGACATACCTGAGCAGCGTAGGTAATACCTCCATGCAGAGAGGCTGTGCTGCCTAAGTTGTTGGCTTTTGGTACATAACAGGCTCCACTCTGAATCCTTATTCAACTTTAAGCAAAGCATGCAAATCTGCCGTTCATCCTCTCCATACTCGTTAATAATGTGAGCTGGGCACAGGCATGAAGGAAAAGTCCATCTCGGAACAGACCCCTGCTGGGAAAGCCAGGCTGTGAGCAGCTCTGCATTTAACAAAGCTGATGGAAATTTCCAGGGAGGGCTTAGAGAGCTTAGTGACAGCCATAAAAAGGAAGAAAATAAGAACTTGACTAAATGGACTTCACTGTCCATGGCTGACGCAGTGTGGAGAATTGCAATTTTTCACCCTGAAGCCCTGGGCAGCAAATGTCCTCCTTGCTGCATCCACATCCAAGTGGCAACACGCTCCATGCTGCACAGAGCTTCTACCTTATGCCTGGGAAAACGCAAAGTGCTTCCAGCATTTCCATGTCTCGAGTTTGATGGAGCAAAAGTTAAATGCTTACATTACCTGAAAAATATTCATTTCTCCAGTGGAAGCTCTGCTTCTGTGAAATGAATAGTCAGGCCTTGATTTGCAAATCTCCTGGGAAACGTGCTGTGAAAGGCTTGCTAATTTACAAAATTCAAGCAATATTTTGCAATGGGCGTTAAAAAACCTTTAAGCTTTCTGAAAAGGGAGATTGCACTGTTTTAAATAGGTGTGCTTAAACCAGTGCAAATCTCTAAGCTTAATTGAAAACCTGATTTAAACCAAGGTAATTGTGATTGTCACACACATCTTGTTGTGTACTTAAGTTGGCTTAAGGTGCAATTATGTGATCAAGTTTCTAATGCAGGCATGGTCTTAAAACTGGCACTTAACTCGTACAATAGAAGTGTTTCTTTGATGAAATCTTTGCTTATTAAGAAGGGAATTTATGATCTTCCTATAAAAGATAGTGTATAACCAGTTCCCTTTGTTAAGTTCAGACATTTGTTTTCTCCACTGTACCTTGATGCAGTCTGAAGCATCTCTTCTGTAGCCTCAAACAATCACCCTAGAGAGTGGAAGACCTAACAGGGAGCAAGCTGAATATTGGTCTTAGGGCTGTGGAGAGGCAGATGAGATGCAGATCAGAGATGCAGATGCACACAAAAGAGAACAAAGATTGTGCTGAGAGTTGTATTGCTTTTGCAAGAGCTGGAGTTAGGAAAGGATAAGTTGGTTAGCTAAGAGTCTGCTGAAGGGTAGCTGTGAGGATGGTTGCTACTGCAGTAGGGAGTGGGAGTGCCAGCTGTGTATTCTGAGCCACTTTTCTGGCCCTGCAGGGAGACACACACAGTCCAGACTAAAAAGCCACGTTGAAGTGGTGCTGAGGATGTTGAACTCCCGTTGTGGCCAAGTCCAGTGACCTTACCTTAAGCCTGTTCATCAGTGTTCCCAGAGTCAGCAATGGGAGCAGTGGCACCAGCTGCTACAGGTCCTCCTTCTGGGAAAGCAGAGCCAAATCCTCAATTCTCTGGCAGTAAATGAGTAGCTAATAGGACCCTGGCAGTGAAATTCAGTTGATAAATGGCAGTATTTAAAACCAACGTGCAAAGTCATGTATTAAATGGAACGGCTATTGATTTCACTGTCCAGGGAAAGGTGCAAATTGACAGCATGAAATTAGAACTGACTTTCCTGTCCAGCCACCTGAGCGGAGCAGGGATGGGAGTTTTTACCTGGTGTACTGTGTGTCAGTCTGGTACCATCATGCTTTTGTACAAGTGAGATGAATCAGACTCAGATGTGTGCGTGTATGCATGCAGGAGCTGAGCTTTCTGTGTAGTACAAGAACACGGTGTTTGGGGGAAGGAGGAAAACATGGTATTGCCAACTCACATTTTGGCCTAGAGAAAGCTTTGCAGTCTTCTGGTTTCTAGAGCTGGGAGCTGGCAAAGACAAGTAGGGCACATGGAACACCTTGGCCAGGAATACCAGTCATGTAGGGAGCTCTGGGTACCACGCCTGTACTTTGGAAAGCATGAAGAAGTGTGGAAGGAGGGGGAAAAGGGCATGGGCCGGTTTAGCTCTGTTGGTTAATAGCTGCAGATACAAAGTAAACTAGACTTTTTCTGGCAATTTTGCCTACCAGGTCAGAAAGTCTTGCTTGCCTAGGGAATGTGCTACTTAGCAGACAGCAAAGTGTGACAGCTAAGTCTCAGTATGCTAGGCAGTGGATGGAGCAGCCAGAGGGACTGGCACCGTTCTAGTGACAGGTTACCATCTGTCGATAAACTCGGAAGCCTTTGTAAATCAGCATCTCTCTGGCAGCTGCTTTTATGGGTATAATGCATCGCAGGGCTAGCTCAGCAGAAAAGAAAAAAAGTGATAACCGATTACTTCCTTTAGACTCTGTGCATGGTTTTGTTGACCTGATTTTCTCCAACTTTCGCCCTTGGTCCTAACCTGGGGTGCTGTCACCCCAGCAGCCCAGCCTGAGGCCTCCAGCACACACAGCTGACCTGCAGCGTCCTCTAAGCTGGGGTTCTTGCCCGTTCTGCTGAGACATCTCATTACAGGAACAACAGCTTTTATATATATGTAAAACACCATGTTTGTGCCTGAGCCATAACCAACTACCAACTACTTGCCCTGAATCCTTCCCTCGGACTGTGGGACTACCCTTAGCTCAAAGTCCAGCTCTTCAGACAATATTCCCTTCTGTCTGCACAGGATTTTTTTTTTTTTTCTTTTTTACTTGCCTTGTGATGATGACTTCACAGCATTGTCAACTCCACCTAGCACCATCAGGGGCAAATCTGCAGCCCAGCAGCCATGTGGTAGTACACTGCACCGTTTCGAAACTCCCAGGCCAGCTTGCAGGGAGCTGGTGTGTCAGCATGGCAAGGCAAAACACTGCACAGAAAGTCTCTTCCGTAGCTATGCAGCCTGTAGCGCTTCTGGAGGTGGGACACAGCAGTAGGTGAGAGATCTCCATGCTGCCTTGGACTACACAGTTGTTGCCTGTCCTCTGAAGTTTCTGTATGGCACAGAGTAAGCTGGATTCGCTCATATTCTTTTCCAGTCTAAGAGCTGCTGGGCCTTAGAAATAGTGAGAGATGCACTTACAGTGTTTTGGTTGTGGTGCTTTAGTTTCTGTGATTGTCTGCAGTCTTCAGCAATGATGTGATGATTAGCCATCATTAACCTTGCCCATTCCCGTGAAGTGATTAGCCAGCCCTGGCTTCGTGTATCTCTGTGGGAAATGCACTGTGAAAGGTTGCCAGAGCATTGGCTGTTCTGTTAAACTCAGTAGCATTAGCTGTAAAATTCAAGTTTTGGATTTTTCGGACACACACATAGTTGATCCAGTACAAACTCTTTTGGGGAAACTTAGTAAGATATCCTCTATATCTGCCCTTGCTCCATAGTGACTGTCTGTGAGAGGGCTTTATAGATTGATTTATTTGTAGATGGAATGAGAACCATTTGTGAAGAAACTAAATGTTGAATAAGAGCAGTTTTACTTAGAATTACCTAGTGCAGATAATGCTGGCAGGCACCACTGAGAGAATTCGCCTTCCCATTCCAATTCTTTGTTTAGTCACTTGGAGTTAGGGTAACCTGATTTTATGCATACAGTTGTATGTCTTCATTTCCGGAAAATCTCTCTGCTCCTGTTGCTGTGCCTCAGTGCTAATATTGAATTGAAATGAATGGAATATTCCAGAGCAATCTGGGTAATACAGTGCTTCGTGTTTGAAAGGCTGTTTATGGTGATGAGCCCTTTTAACAAAAACGTGAACTGAGATAGATCTGCAGTTTCTGTAGGGCAGGAATCAACACCATCCTTTGTATTGTGGGGCATAATATGTGCTAGCTGGAATAGTGTCCTGTCATGCTAATATCCTTTCCTTCTTTGGTGTTTCAAGGGCCTTAAACTCTGGAGTTGAGTACCACTGGGACCAGCTGAATGAGAATGTCTTCACTGTGCATTCCAGCAGCAGGAGCACCGAGCGGCCTGGGTGAGTCTCCTGGGTGGTATGGGTTAGAGAGACCTGACCCTTTGTGCTGCTTTTGTTACATCTGACAGCACCACTTCTTCTTATTTGTTTCCTTAGCACTGGCAGCTGTAATTACGCAATTTTTTCCAGCTCTGACACTGCCTAGTTGGGCCACCTGGCCTGCTTTCAGTAAGTGACATTCAGTGCTCAAACATTCTGCCAGTGATAGTGAAGTACATGTGTCATCCGTGGCCTCGCTTCCTTCTCAGCGAGCAAGCTGTGGGAGGAACGTATGGGGCTCGACGCATCAAAAACACCATGCAAAGTACATGGCCTTTGGAGGACAACTGTAGAACGGGGGGCTTCAAGGAGACGAGTGAAAATCCATTGGGCAGTCCTGGTGACTGATTTTCATCCCTTTTGTTTCTGGTCGTGGGACAGTTTCTCAGCAATAAGCTCTAAAAGTAAAGCTGAATCCCTTGGCAGCCCTATTGGCTGCTTCATCCAGTCTGTCCAGTGATGCACATGTTAGTTATTCTAAACACGAGGGTGATGCTGCAGTCCCTTGCCTCTTGTCCCAGTGAAGAGTACTTCTCCTTAAGCCAGCTGTTCTCAGCAAGAGGGTGGCAGTCTTGTTTCTGAATTGTGAGCTCCAGCATCCTAAGGAAGTTATGAGCTGATGTGCGGGGCAATTTCTATGCTGTCCTACAGCCTTGGTGTGATTGAGGGTGAAAAAAAGCAGTAGAGATTCTTTACTCTGCTTTGTGAGTGGATATTGCCACTACTCACGTTTTTTGACAGCACGTGTCAGTCTTGCATGATGGGCTTAGGAGCAACTTGAAGACAGAAATACTGCTCAAGAGTGAACTAGCTCGAAGAGAGAGCAAGAGAAGTGCGTCAAGTTTCAAAACTTTATGAAAAAAGGTTGTGAATGTGGCAATCTTTCGTAGAATCTCTTTACCATTTCTGGCACTTGCAACCAGAGGTCAGTTTTGGAAAGTGAATCCAATCATTGTCAAGATTCAGCTCTTGTAGCATTGTACACTCCAAGTGTTTGATTCTGAGAAGCTAGTGAGCCTTGAGGCGATTCCTGTTGTTTGCTATTGAGAACAGAGAATTTCTCTTGTCCAACTGGAAAGGGCAGAAATGCCTGCTGGAGTGCATTCATGTGTGATGCTGACAAACTAGGAGGTTCAGAGGAGGGAAGGGATACAGGCTGCATCCTTAGGAGTTAAAACCACCCTGCCAGTGTGCGGAGGGAAGTTGTGTGTGTGTTTGTGGTCCTGCGCTGCATGTCGTGTTGCCTGCTCTACTCGGTGACCCCAAGAGAGTTGTTCTGCAGGCTAAGTGATGTTGCGGGGATATCTATCTATGCCCATCAGACATGCTGCTTCTGTGGAAGGGTGAGTGGACTATAAGACTCTGTTGGCTTAGAATTCAAGAGACTATCCAGCTGAGGCTGGAGAGGATTGTCTGTGTGTGTGTAAATAAGTGCAGGTCACAATCCCCTCCAGCCCTGTCTGCACAGTGGCTAGCAGGTGCTTGGTTGGAGTGGAGGCAAGAAGAGGCTCAGATGGATGCTTCAATCTTGCTGAGGCATGTTGCCTCCAATGCTCCTGGTGTTATTTGTTTTTCTCTCTTTTCAGAACCAGCAGAGCCACATGGAGGACAGACAGGGACATGGGCCTGATGAATGCCATAGGCCTGCAACCCCGAAACCCCCCCA